GCCTGTTCAACAAATAGACTGATGTGTTGACTGCTTCTGCCCAAAAACTTTTTGTCAAACCCTTCTCAAACAATAAGCACCTAGCCATGTTCAAAATTGACCTGTTCTTCCTCTCACTAACTCCATTTTGCTGAGGTGTGTATGGAACAGTGAGCTGATGCAGGATTCCAGCTCATTTTAGGAAAAACTGAAATGTTGATGATGTATATTTACCACCATTATCTGATCTCAGTATCTTAATTGCTTTCCCTGTTTCATTTTCTACCATGGCCTGAAAAAATCTTTCAAACACATTTGACTTTTGTTTCAGAAAATAAATCCAACACATCCTGCTGTAATCATCAATAAAAAGCAGGAAATATTTGCTGCCATTTAAAGAAATGGCCTCCATAGGACCACAGACATCAGTATGAATCAACTGCAATTTTTCTAAAGCTCTGGTTGCCTGTCCAGTAGGGAATGGTAACTGACTTTGCTTACCAAACTGACATACTTCACACACACGATTTGCTTCAGACACACATATCACTAGCCAAATTCTCACTGTACATCAACTTCAGTGATTTTCTATTGAAATTGCCTAGTCTCTTATGCCACAAATCAGAATTATCCTCAAAACCTAACACAAGCTTTAAACTCAGTTTCTTTCCACTCAACAGGAAAACTTTTTAATTCATCTTGACAGCAAACAACATAGCACCAGTCTCATCATAAACATCACACAGTCTATCATGAAAATGCAGCTCATATTTGTTTTCAAATAGCTGTGCTACACTAATTAGACTAAAACTTATATCAGGCACATACAGAACATCACAAATTAATTTGATACCTGATGGAGTTCTAACAGCAGCAACTCCTTTTCCTTTGACTTCCACCAAATCTCCATTTTCAAGCCTTACTTTGGAGTTATAACTGCTGTCAATGCTCTTAAAAGTACTGAAGTCTGCTGTCATGTGGTGAGTACAGCCACTGTCAATCAACCAGGAGGTAGGATTGAGACCAACAACATTACAATTCTCAACCCTTGTAGCCATAAACAACTTCTCCTCCTGCTGTTCAAGATTCTCTACAATGTTTGCCTTTTGTGATGATTCTGCCTTGGACTTGCAGTTTCTAGCAATATGACCAAACTGCTTACAAGCCCTGCACTGTATCCCCTGCCTTTGCCTTCCTGGTCTGAGTGTTTGGCATAGACCAGCAATAGTTTGAAGAATGGTTGGTTTTCTGGCAATAGGTGGGAGGAAATGGTTGCCTTTTTCCTTCATACCTATTTCCTTGAAAATTTCTCTGAAATTCCTTTGGTTCCACTCTTCTTTTCAACAACTGGCCCTCTTTGACCTTCTTGATCCTGACCCTTCTTTCTTTCTGCAGCAACAAGAGCACCCTCTACATTTCCTTCACTCCTTAAAGCCTTCCTTTGTTCAACAGCTTGTACAGAGTTAATAAGTTCAGACAAGGAAATTGTAGCAAGATCCTAAGAATCCTCTGAGGATGAAATCTTGTGCTCAAACTTTTCTGGTAAACTAACCAGAACCTTTTCAACCACTCTTTTATCTGAGAGTTTTCCACCCAGCAACCTAATTCTGTTTACAATCTTCATAACCCTGTCTGAAAACTGCTTGACAGTCTCAGACTCACTCATCTGCAGTACAGAAAACTCTCTCTTCAAGTTCAGTACCTCCATCTGCCTAGACTTGGCACTGCCATAAAACTCCTGCTCAATCAAGTTCCATGCTTCTTTAGCAGAATCACAGGCCATGATTCTGCTGAAAATTTCTTCAGTCACAGCTGAGTGCAAAGTGGTGAGAGCTTTGTACATTTTTGTTTCTTCTTCAGTGTGCCTTTTTGATCTGTGCAATAGTGGTGTTTGCTGGTAGAGGAGTTGGCTCCCTGTTTGTTTCCATCACATCCCACAAATCAAAGGCCTTGAAGTATGCCTTCATTCTTACTGCCCAGGCTGTATAATTTTGCCCAGAAAAAAACTATAACCTTCAAAAAGTTGCTGTTAGAATCCATCTACAGAAATGGAGAAAAAAAGATATGAAATTTCCTTTTTTCACTCAAACTCATTCCCACTCAAGGATCAGTGGAGGCTCTGATACCATCTAAAATGGTTTTGCTCTAAAGAAAAACAACGAAAAAGGAGAGCAGAACAACTGAACTATTTCATTGAAGCTTGAAATATGTACAACTTAGGTATAACAGACAAAAACAAAAAGTAGCAACCAGGTGAACAAAACAGCTTTTCCAAAACTTTTGCTACCCTTTCTAAAAGCATTGACCAAGAGCAACAAAGCATAAAGACAAACTAGAATTAAAATGCAACAAAAAACTTGGAATAAACTGAACTAAATCAGTTTCATGAAGTCTAGTTCTTGAAATCTTCATTTCTTCAAAAATACTAGTAAAATATGTGCAAACTTGCTGTCACAGCTTCAACACCATAAACTACTTACATGCCATCATTCATGGGAGAAAACCAAAGGTGGTAATTCTTGAATTGATTATTTGATACACGGTAATAGTTTTTACTATAATATACCCTTTTTTTCTCATATATGTTGAGATGATAAAAGTTCGTGATGTTTTGGTTAGCAGAAAGCCTCTTATAGCTAAGAAGGAGATGCTGCTGGAAGGCATGATTACATCTAAGGAGTTCCTTTCTGGTGTTGTCATAAACCATAAGGAAATTCTTGTGATTTAAAGTCTC